AGATTGAGTTTTTGAAGCATCTGGTTTTTCCGTTTGAGTATGTTGTGGAACCAGGCCTGGGCCAGTATAGGACAGGCATACACCAGTGATGATTTCTTTATCTTTGTAAAAAAAAAAATACATTCAAAGTCTCTTCAGTCTGAAACAGAACATAAGAATGATTACAAAGCAGATACAACAGGCAATATCTCCATTTCTTGTTTGTGAAGCAGAACAGTTTACAGAGCTTCTGCAGCCGCTCTTATACCCTCTCCACACACCTTCACATCTCACATGCTCTATTGCACCTTTCTGTCTGACCTCCAACACAATAGACACCATCGTATGTGAACCTAGAGGGGTCAGCTTTAGGAGCCTCTCCAGCCATTATGACAAGAGTAATAAATTCAGTAAGCATGCAAGTGACATAACGACTGTAGTTCCTCTGGTGACCGACGCTATTAATGAGCAAACAATCACTACTTGACACGTGTCCCAGATTAATGATACCAAACACCACAAACATGTCAAAAACTCCATTAAGGTGACAAAACATAACATGCGACATATCACTTTGTCATGGAATAAATACGTCCAACTTGTTAAAATGGTAATACATAAACACATTAACCTGGTGTCATCTTAGAAATATTAAACCTTAGCATGAGAGACAACCTGTCATAGGATGACATCTTAAAAACCTTGAATGTTTATATCAAAGGCCCTTTAGGTTTGACAGGTGACCTCTTGCCCCCCCCTTCCCGGTCACTCTGGGTCATCCATATGCACCGCACTACTGAGCAAGTTTAACAAGTACTGATGAATGCATCACATTGAGAAAACATATACATTAAAATATAAGTGTAAATTAAAATAAAATGAGCAAGAATATAATAGGTGACATAGGCAACATATAGTAATAACTGAAATGAAATTGACCACATCTAAAGATTTGAGTGTAAAACTCAAATCTTTAGATGTGGTCAAGTCTAACTCTAATCCTTTAACCTTCTTGGTCTCCCACAAGTATATACACATCATATCCTTTATCCACATGCATGTAAATATATCTTGATTTCAGAAACCTTATCCTGGTTGTGAGAAACCTGAACATGCTAGGTGTCTAACTCTAATCCTTTAACCTTCTTGGTCTCCCACAAGTATATACACATCATATCCTTTATCCACATGCATGTAAATATATCTTGATTTCAGAAACCTTATCCTGGTTGTGAGAAACCTGAACATGCTAGGTGGCTGCTGGGATATTGTTGCATGTATAGTTGTGGGGAGAGAAGAGCAGTGTTATTTTGTGCTTTACACACTTTGCATTTCTGGCTCACTCTCATTGTCCTGGCTGTGTCACTGAGCCATATGTTTCACA